TTTTTTTGTGTGTGTGTGTGGATGCATTTAAAATAGTCTTATTTACTCTATAGCAAGGGTTGGCAAATGATGCCCCATGGACCAACTTAGACCAAGTACCTGTTTTTATAAATAAAGTTTTATTAGAACATAGCCACACCTATTAATTTACGTATGATCTAGGCTGCTTTCAAGCTGTAGTGGCAGAACTGAGTTGTTGTGACAGAAACCCTATGGCCTGCAAAGCCTGAAAAATAATTTATAATCTGACCTTTTAGGGAGAAAGTTTGCTAACCTCTGCTCAATAGACATCTATCATCTACTGAGATTAAATCTAACCTCACAAGCCAGCTTGATTAAAATGATCAGTCAGAGAGAAATGTGATGTTGATGTGAAAAGGGGGAAGATTTGATATTGCTGTGTTTTGAGGACTACCCATTGTGGAACTGAAGGCGGTTTGATTCCCATCATGTAGATAGGAGACTCACCAACAACGTTCAGCCGCATTTTCAGTCAGTTCTCATTCAGCAGTCCCATGACTTTTAGGGTAGCACTGATTTTGTTCCGTTTTGCTGTGCCTTTGTGAAAAACAGAAGAAGTGTTCTGTTTTGTTTCTCCACATCTTATGTTTCTAAGCCAGAGAGGTGTAATTTTATGTAATTAATTAACAAGTTAATACTGATAGATGAATTCTGATAAGACTTAGAGGAAATGTTCATAATAAAATGATTTTAATAGCTTTGCATGGCCATTAGTCCACTTCTCAATTAATTGCATTCTTTTAAAATCATAGTTTTTTGAAAAAAATTCTGGCTTAATGGGCTAATTATTTCTTTCTATATTGAATCAAAAGCAAAGCTTCATGCTGGCATCTCAGTTTTCAGGCTGTGGCACACTGTGTGCTCAAGAACCTTGGGCTGGCGTTCCAGACACTGGAAGCCTAGTCCTGCTTCCCAGGCTGATTGGAGAGCTACGTCAATGAACTCTTCCAAGGCTGTTCCCTCATCCGTAAAAGAAGAGCTTGTGGACTAGATGGGAATGACCCCCACACTTGACTGATCACTGGAATCCCCGGGGGGGTCTCTTTAAAACACCCATTTCTAGCCTTCCCTCTTGACCCACACCCTCCTGCTGACAGTAGCTGTTTGTGAAGGCTGGTATGGTGTTACTGGCCAGAATGGGAAATCTTGGTCCATATAAACCCTAAGAGATCTTCTGATCCTTAGGTTTTTATGGTCCTGAGAGATCATTGTTTTAAAGGTGGTAACAATGGGCAAACATTTATTGACTAGTTCCTTGTGCCTGGGCTTCTAGCTGAGGGACAGGTGCTGCCCCTGTGACTCTGGTGCCGCTGCTACAGACGGAAATTCCACCTTAACTGGAGCCCCACTTTACCATTCACAGATTGCGTCAGTCATGAATTGAATTAGCAATTCACTTAGCAATTCAGTGAATTCACTCAGAAATTAATATCCCTGTGAGTTGGAATTCAGTCGATAGCAACCAGTTTTTGTTTTGTTTTGTTTTTGTGTTGGTAAGTGATTCTGAGCCTCCAAATTTAAGGGAATTTTCTAGGTAAAAATTGCAAGGCTAAGATTTGAACTCAGGTTTCCTGACTCTAAATACAGCTGTCTTGAGGTGGCTAAGGGTAGGGGGATTGATATGGAAACAGTCTGTGACCACCATAACACTGGAGAAAGGGAGGACACCAAGTTGTGCACATAAGATATAGACGACAGAGGCTAATACCAGTATATCCACAATACCGCATTACCATAACACCAAACACCAGGCTACAGAAAAACACAAACATCTGAGAGTATCAGATGGGGGTCAGTGGAGAGAATTATACTCTAGACCAACGATAGATTCAGCTGAGGCTAATCTTGCACAAATACCAGTGATGCAAAATACCCACAATCCTTACAGAAACAACAGAAGACAGACAGAGCAATCCCTCAGGGACAGTCAGACACTGTGGGGGAAAGATCCAATGGATCTGCTGACTCAGGACCATTGTATTAGGGGACACCAGACTCAATTGGCACAACAAAATATGTAAAAATCTTGTTCTACAACCTACATTGGTGAATAGCAAGTGGAGTCTTAAAAGCTTTCAAGCGGCCATCTAAGATGCAACTAATGGTCTCCTATCGTCAGAAGTGAAGAAGAATGCAAAAAACCAAGGGTATTTGGAAGCAATCAGCCCTAGGAATGATGGACTTCGAAACCAGAAGAACTAGATGGTGCCCGGCTACCAATACCAACCACTCCAGAAAGGATCAAAACTGGAGATCCTGGATAGAGTGGGAGGGAAAACATGGAAGAAAATCCAAAAACACAATAATGACCAGAGTTACTGGTCAGATGGGGTCTGGTGGGACCCTCAATACTGTGGCCCTGGGGATACAGTTCGGGTCTGGAATGAAACTCACTCCCAGGGGCTGGCTCTCAGCCCAGTGGTAAACAAGACATACAGGCAGACCACTCAGCCTAGGTAACACACCCACATACTCCATGGAGATGCATCCCTTGGTGCAGTTGACCATGGGGCACCAGAGGGGCAACATTTCATGGAGGAAATGCAGGCATTATGAAGGGCATGGGGGAAAGGGGGAGAGGGGAGGTGTGTTACTGGAAAGGGAGGGGAGGAGAGTGGGTTAGGGTTGGGGATGGTAATTGGGGAGTGAAGCCAAATGTACATGAAATGTTGAAGGTAAAACAAACTCTGCTCTGTAAATTTGCACCTGAAACACTCACACACACACACATAAAGAGCAAAATAAATAAATCCAGCTGTCTTTCTATTACAAATACACATGAAAATAACAGAAGGAAATGAACTAATACAGGAAGAAGACATAGGGAAAGGGGAAAGTACCAGAAAAGGTCAGTAATAAAACAACAAAACTCAAAGTTGTGGACTCCAGCTTGTCCCACAGAAGAACCTTGTTGGATCCAGGTCTAACTAAGTCTAGATCAGAGGCAGGGCTGGACTATGGTAAGGGAGGTGAGGCACCTAGGCATGGCATTTAAGGAAGCAACCACGTTCAGGGCTGTGCAAGGGCAGAGCCAACACCTGAGAGTGAGGACCTCCTTAGGTGTTGGGCAGCAGTTGTCTCACGCTAGTCCTGGCCCTGACCAGAGCTTAAAAAAAAAAAAATCA